TAGCCCAAGATGCATGTAACTTTCCTCATAGAGTTACATGCCAGAGGAAGGACACAGGCAAAAAGAAAAACCAATGTATTTGTATATAATATTTTGGAAGTAATAAGTTCTATGAATAACAATAAATCTTGGTACAGTGGGTAGACAGACAGTGAACAGAGAAGAAATGCTATTTTGTATATGGTGGTCAGAAAAGCCTTCTTTGAGAAAGTGAAGTTTTGGCAGAGTTCTGAAGGAAATGAGGGATTCAGTTATGCCGACATTTAGGAAACAATGTTCCAGGCCCAGAAAATACTAAGTGCAAAGACGTTCAGGAAGCTGGAATTAGAGCAAGCAATGGGCTAAATGACGAGAAGAGAGGGCAAATAAATGATGGTGAAGTGAGATCAGGTAGTGCTTCTTAGATTATGATAAGAAACTTTTACTCAGTGGAATGGAGGAGATTTGAAAGGTTTTGAGCAGAGAATAGAAATGATATGACTTGTGATTTAAAAGAATCACTCCAGAATAGTTCATATAGCAAAAAGTGTAAAAACAGGGGGCTCAGTGGAGAGCTTACTATAATAATACAGGTAAGACATGATGGAGACTTGGATCAGGATGGCATCAGTAGGCGTGGAGAAAAAATGCTCATATATAAGTATTCAAGAAAAGGAGAATATAAGCAATTTTGTAATTCCTCTAAAAAATCTAGAAAGAGGCCAGCTCTATTAGTCAATTCTCATGCCACCATAAATAACTGCCTGAGACTGGATAACTTATAAAGAAAAGAGGTTTAATTGACTCACAGTTCTGTATGGCTGGGGAGGACTCAGAAATCTTACAATCATGGTGGAAAGAGAAGTAAACACATCCTGCTTCACGTGGTGGCAGAAGAGAGAAGTGCCAAGCAAAGGGGGAAGAGCCCTTTATAAAACCATCAGATCTCATGAGAACTCACTATCACAAGAACAGCATGGAGGTAACTGCCCCCATAATTTAATTACCTCCGACCGGGTCCCTCCCACAATGTGTGGGGATTATGGGATTACAATTCAAGATGAGATTCGGGTAGGGACACAGCCATACCATATTATTCCATCCCTGGCCCCTCCGAAATCTCATGTCCTTACATTTCAAAACCAATTGTGCCTTTCCAACAGTCCCCCAAAGTCTTAGCTTATTCTACCATTATGGAATTACAATTCAAGATGAGATTTGGGTGGGGACACAAAGCCAAACCATATCAGCAGGTAAACAAAATTTTGTGCAATAACTGGGTAAAAGGGTGTGGAAGAAATTAGAAAACTGGAAGCCAGAAATATAGTGAAGTTAAATAAATAAACAAACTTTGGGAAGTTCAATAAAATAAAAATTGTTTAAGTGAATAAAGAAAAGGAAAAGAGAATACTATTACGCTACTTCCAGAATGAAAAAGAGGCTATAACCTCAAATATGAAGATTTAAAATTTGTTGATTGGCAACAGGTCCTTTGAGGGGAAATTAGGATTAGATAAGGGTCCTTATGGGGAGGAAAAGCAGGATGGGTAAAGGCAAACCATGAAGGAGGAGTGCATGGATAACCTCTGAGGCTGGAGACCAGGGCACCCTCTGAAAATAAATATCAGTTGTTCTCTTTGACAGGCACAGGGTTCTAATTCCAAAACATCTAGTATGGTAGAAGGTAATAAGTGGTAAGGATAAAAAAATTAAGCAAAGAAGAGGGCTAGGGTATGTTGTTAGTGGGGGTGAGGTATAATTTTAGAAAGAATTATAAATGTCACCTGTCAGGACAGGTGACATTTGAGAAATAATTGGAGGAGATGAGGGCAGTGGATGAAGAGCATTCTTCACAGAGTATGAGTGGTGGTTGAGTGCTGGGAGATAGAAGTTGAGGAATAGTAAGAGGGGAGCTGTGCGTGGTGGCTCATGCCTGTAATTCCCGCACTTTGGGAGGCTGAGGTGGGCGGAGCATGAGGTCAAGAGATTGAGACTATCGTGGCCAACATGGTGAAACCCCGTCTCTACAAAAAATACAAAAATTAGCTGGGCATGGTGGTGCATGCCTGGTGACAGAGGAAGACTCCATCTCAAAAATAAAAATAAAAATAAATAAATAAGTAAGAGGGCCAGTGTATAGGAGAGTAAGAGATGAGGCCAGGCAGGTAATGGGAGTAGTGATGAGAGGAAAGAAAGGGAAGATCAACTTGGCCTGAAATGCTTCGGGTGTTTGCTTATGAGATGGGGAGTCACTGGGGTGTTTTGAACATAAGAAAGACATGATGTGATCTACGTATTACAGTCACAGTGGGTTACTGTGTTGAGTACAGACTGAAGGAGAGAAAGGGGCATAATTCTATGTGGTCCTGAGAAAATAGAGTCAGTGGATAGAAGGAGCTGACTTTTCTAACCACTAGCTAGCTAGCTAACTAACTAACTAACTAATCCTAATTAGCTGACTACCACCAGTGAAACTGGCTGCCAAGTCACCTTGAGAGTTATATTCAGCAGCTTGTCACTGGTGGTCCCATAGGATGCTATTGTTGTTGATGCTGAATAATTCCTACCTTGAATAAGGAAGGCATGAGACTATGACATTCTGGATTCCTTCCAATACTAGGAGCCCTTGATTCTATAGCATGCATCTGCCCTAGCTAGAATGGAAGCTCCATGAGCACAGGGAGTTTTATTTGCTCTGTTCAGTTCATTGCTCTGTTTCCAGTGCCTGGAATAGTGCTGGACCTTGAGTAAGACGTTTTTTAAACCTCACAGAACAAACAAGTTGGGTTGAATGGCATTGATGACCTTCCTAGTTTGGCTAGTCTGTGATCACTGTTTTAGGCTCTGAGTCATTGTTTCTAAAGTAGGCTAAGGAGTGGACGAAGGGGTCCTTATAGGGAGGAAAGGCAGGGATGGGTAAAGGAAAACATGCATGAAAGAGGAGTGCATGGGTAACCTCTGAGGCTGGAGACCAAGGGCACTCTCTGAAAATAAATATCAAGTGTTCTCTTTGACATGCACAGAACTCCAATTCCAATAGGGGATGCTTCACTTGAAACTGAGGGTACAAGACACTAGGGGTCCATCACGGGCATGTTTTCTTTGTGCCAAGTGAATCAGCTTGGTCAACAAAGTGCTCACAGGCCCCTGAAGCTCTACCTGGGAAAAACAGCACAAACAGCAGCTTAGAGTCCATTGAAAATACATTTTTAATTTTGATAGAGTTTATAAATGTCAGCATTGACATTTCTTTAAACAAGTTGTTTCAAGGCACAGCATTGTGTCCCCAGATGCCCAAAAGGAAGAGATTTCATGTCCCCCTGAGGTTTAGCAGAGCCACCAGTGTCAAAAGGATGGCTGACAGGGCCTAGATTTGCTACCAAATAAGCCAGTGAAACATGCTGTCAGATTTATGGTTACATAATCAAGTATTTAAAAAGATGCACAATAGGTAACTGCATTGAGCTTGCTCTGCATTTAGCAATAGTTCCTTTCAAACAAAGAAGATAGTTTTCAGTATCAATAAGGATGCCAATATGTATGTCTTCCATGGAAGCTTTCCTACAAATTGTTTTTATTACACATTAAAAGGAGTTCAGCTTCATTGTGATCTAGGAGGAAGAAAATAACAGCTAGAATTTAGTTACTGGTTAATTGTCAGACTCAACATCTATTATCTCACTTACTGTTTATGGTAAGGCTTGGAGGTAGTTACTATTGTAGCCCTCAATTTACAGATGGAGAAACTAAGGCTAGGAGAGAGTTAAGTGACCAGTTCATGATCATATAGCTAGCAAAGGGCAAATACAGTTTTTTAACTCAAGTCTTTGCACTTAATTCAGAGGTACATGACATAGTAATGTATACTCTAAAATGATAGTGTCGTTACCTTTCAAATGCAAATGCTAGAATAATCACAGTTATAATGGCAAAAAGCAGTGTTTTAAATAAACAGGATCTATCTTTCTTGGTCTGATGATCTCAGGGTTACAAGGGGAGACTGAAAAAAGAGAGAGATGAATCCAAATTCTAGCGATTTAGCTATTGGAACTCAGTGTTCTTTTTCCAGACACTGGTGTGGGTACCTTCCCTTATGGATTTTTTTAAACCACATGGTCTCAAGGAGGCTTAGAGTGTGAACTACACCCCTGTAATAAACAGTCATTCATATTCCCATCCCATAATACAAGGGCATTCACCTTGAGTCATTTAGCTGCTCAGGCTTGAAGGTTTCTGCGGCGCCTGCCGAAGGCTTCAGAACCCACATTGGTGGGCACGAAGTTGTTCTTCACCATGCCCCCAGATCTGCTCAGCAAGCCTGCCAGCCGATGAGTTACACAGGTGGCAGTGTCACAGGCTCTCTTCTGGGCAGTGGTTCTGATTTGCAGGATGAGAAATAAGAGAAGACCTGTGAGTGAGAGGCTGGGAGAGGAGTCAGCCCCATGGGACCTTCGTGGTAAAGTTGCTGTTCTGAAAGGCACTAATTAACTTTAAGTGTTTCTCCTAAATACAACTATCAGAGCAGAAAATCACAAGGCCATTAAGGAAAATGCCATGATCACTCCCCATAGATATTCCCAGGGGTGTCAGAAAACCAAAAGGTGACTCTGGATGACTGGCTATGGAATATGGAGCAGTTAACAGCCAATCTTTCCTGTATAAACTAACTCAAAATCAAAGCAGAGGCTTATGAGACTGGAGTGAATTATGACCCCACACCCAGCCCCATTCACAAAGACTATAAAATTGATAACCCAGTCATGGGCACCAACTACCCCTTCATAGGAAAATAAAAAGTTCCCCAGTCTTACCTGGAAGAGGAGCCGAGTTTGCAGCATCAAGTCCTAGAGGTGCTTACCTGCTCCCTAGGACTCCTGCTCTTGCTGCTTGAGCTCGGTTAGAGGAACCACCCACCATATCCTGTGTCCAGCTACCCCAGGGTTAAGGCTATTTCTAAGGATAGGTCTTAGACACTATGAAGCCTGGGACATACACCAAAGCAATAATTACCACAGCTCAGATCTTTTTGGAAAAATCATTTTATTCCTTAAATGATTAGCACATTCAGAAGCAGGACAGAGGAGCTCTCATGAAATCTCTGGGGGACTCAAAGCAGCCCTCATTTTCTGATGTTTTCCTGGGTGATTCTCTTCCAGCCTGTGAGTCCTGCTTTCTTTCCTCCCATCTGAAGTTCGAGACATCCTCTACCTCAAGGAAAGCCACTACTACCAGCCCAAAGAGCCACCAGAGAGGAACCAAACCACATGCATCAAGTTATAGGAAGGAAGCAAGAAGGAAAATTAGAAAGGAGAGGGAGGGGTTTAGTTGGGATCCTGGGGCATGCCAACGTGAGGGTGATGGTCTCTCTCCAAGCTGTTGTACACATCCCTTTTCTTGCCAGGTGCTCCAGCCCCAACTGCAGTTTTGGGGAACGTGTGAAACTTGCTGAAGTCCTGCGAGTATGTGCTCAGCATGCAAGTACTCAGCCTACTGCACCGCTTAGATCTGGGACTGCAGGGAAAAAACATGCCAGACAGTACCATAAACCTGCCCCCATGGGGAGTCACTTAGAACATTAGACCAGGCAGGGGACTCTTCGAGTAGGAGCAGGAGGGACACGCAGGAGGGCGGCTTGCTTTTCCCTCATTAGGAGAGCTCAGAGGTTCAGTGGGCCAGGGCAGTGCAAGGAAGGACTGGATGGGGAAGCATAATCTTTTCTGGCATTCTACGTGCTGTTCAGTCCTTCATGCTTGACAGAGGGGTTCTCAGGGCAGATGCAGGGGCACACATGCCTCTGCATGGGCAGTGCCTGGGGCTGGTCTCTGCTCAGGCTCAAGATGCACAGGAATGTGGATCTGGGGTAGGGTGCTCTCCCTGGCCTCCTGACAACATGCACATTTCCACAGATACCACATATTTAAAGGCTCAAACCTACCTCAGACACTGCTCTACCTGTCCCCATCCCCTGCAAGGGCCTCACCTTCACCTTGCAGATGTGAAATGAAGGCTCCTTGCAGGTGTGAAAGAATGTCATATGCAGATTAACAAGGTGGATCCAAATTTCTAAAATCTCCTGAGATATAGGTATATACATGTCTATACCTGACTTCACCCTCACCAGTCTTAACTTATCCCAATACTGGGAAGTCTCTGAGTACTGCAAGAGCAACTCCAACAGTGAGCAATTTCACACCTCCCCATTTCATTTCCTAAGAACTTTCAGAAATGGAGCTTTTTAATGTATCTAACCACAGTTCCTCCAGCTGCACTGGGACCTCTATCTCCCTTGGAGCTTGAGAACAACTGGGCCCAGGTCTCGGTGAACAACACAGCCTGTTGGATTCCTGGCCAGTGCTTTCTTTTCCACCTCTTGGGATCTGCCTTCCTGGGTATGCTGGGGGGAGGGGAGGCCCTGTGCGGGGCACTTGGGGAGACTCACCTGGAGCCCTTTGTCTCCTGCTCCTGCTCCTGCTCCTGCTCCTGCTCCAGCTCACTGGTCTTCATCTGCACATAGTCCTGCAGTGCAGCCAGCAGGAGGCGCCCTTTCTCCTCACTGAGTGTGGCTAGGTCTGGGCTTCTCTCCAGGGTGGACCTGTGGAAGGGAAGCAAACAGTGCAGGCTGTAAGCCCCTGCCTGCACTTCCCCAGGATGAGCAGCCAGGCTTCCTGGTCTTTGCTTCTTCCCCTGAAGATGTGACCACTGGGAATCCCAGGGACAGGGCACGAGGCCAGTGTCCTCCCCAGGACCCAGGCACTGGAGTGGCCTGCAAGCAGTGGTATGCTGGAGCTAGTTTGTATAGACTTGTCAAAGCTGATGGTTACATTTTCAGGAATTTTGCAAAGCTGAGTGCAGCTATAACTTTATAAATTTATAAATTAAATGCTAAAACTTAACAGTTAGTGCTGAACCTGAAAACAGTTTTAGTTTAATAAATTTATACGCGGGTGAGAAATAGATCAACAGGTAAAATATCAGATTTAACAATAACAAATTTATTGTCAAACTATTTAACAGAATAGTATGCAATTCATTTCTCAAATCATGGCTGAATAGAGTAAATAGGATGGCTACACATACAAAAGTTTGGAAAAAAGCAACAAAAGCATTTCTGTGGGACTCAATGGCCTATATGAAATTTATAATAAAGAGTATTGTCTAAATATTTATTACTACTTATAAATTGTGTAACGCACATCTTTATATGAGAAAAAATTATGTATTTGCATGAGTACATATATTACCCTGGCCCCCTGTTGGTTTTTAAGCATTCAGTACATCACACTTAAGAGGCATGGAATTGTCTGATTCCATTGCGGTTCTGGCTTCAGGCTGTCTTACCTGAATGGTGCTGCCTGGAGGCTGCCTGCCTGGAACAGCACCAAGATGCCGAGAGCCAAGAAGGGGGAGAACTTTTGGAAGCCCATGACACCTCTCTGCAAGGGAAGAATGAGGTAAACCACCTGCGCCAGTTCAAAGCTCTAGGAGCCCACAGACCTTGGCTCCTATCCTGCTTTTCTATCTTGCCTCTATTGCCCTGGCTTTGCGGCTACAGACTGGTCATCATATTTCTTTTCTTCTTCGTTTCCTCATCAGCACAGTGGAATCCTGGGAGGTTCAATGGGCCTGTAGCATGCACAGTTTGACAGAGCTGGAGGAGCAACCCTAGCGTGAGAGCTGAATGGGAGAGGTCTCAGTCCTACCCTTCTCCCCAAAGCGACACACATGCATGTAGACCTATTAGCCAGGTCTCTGTGGAGGACACACTCCCAGGACCCTGTCACAGAAGCTGCTCTCGTAAGGAAACCCAGAGCTGTCCTCTTGTGGGGCTTTTGCATACACCTGGATGGGAGAGAGAGGGGAGATCTGTCGAGAGGGATTATCTCTGCTAATGGAATCTGAGAAATAGAAGAATCCGTTTTAGTGCTCAGCCGCTCCGCCTGCTGGCACCTCAGTCCCCTGCAGTAACCAAATTTAACTCTTAAATTGGGACCCAAGACTTTCTCTCTTTGCTCCCAGGAGCCTGTAGTTTAGGGCTGCTTGTCCCTCAGTCGTCGTGCGCTTTTGCCACCTGTTCGCGCTGTTCCAGGTTCTGAACCAATTTCCCTGGGACTGCTAGGCGCCAGACGCGATCCCTGAACGCACCGTCTGCGGAAAGTCCTGCTCTGTGCACGGTCCCTGGGGAGCCTGAGTGTCCCAAGACCGGCCCAAGCCTGTGTGCAGGGGGAGAGAATAAGGCTGGAGTCCGCAGCCGAGCAGGAAGAGCGAGCCCGGGGACTGAGACTGTCCGATCCTACCTAGGGTAGGAGCCTGGTAGAAATCGCAGACTAACAGAGACTCTCTGATGAAGAGACTAATGGAGAGAGAGAGAAAAGAGGAGAGGGAGAGAGAAATTGACTAATGGAGGGAGAGGGAGAGAGAAGGATAAACACCTAAGCTAGAATCTCGGGGCTCACCTAGCGGGAGGTGGCCTGGATCCGAGGCAGTGGCGGCGGCGGCGTCCAGTCAGAGCCCTGTGGAAGCGGCGGCGACACTTGGGCTGAGCAGTGGCTCTGATGCCTCCCAGCGCCAGCGACCGCTCTTATTCCCATCGCTGTGGATCGGAAGGGTTCCGCCAGTACACAGCAACCAATGGTCGGAAGGGTCCTTTGCCCAAGTTGGGTTGCGTCACCCTCGTGCTTCCAGAACCTGTCGGATCCAGCAGGACGATCCCACTTGTACTTGCATTGAGGTCATTGATGGAGATGGGGGGGCGGGGGCGGGCGGAAAGGGTGGGGATGGTGGGGCATTAACTAGAAACGCCCTTAAAGTGAGCGGGAATTTGAGGGCAGTTTGACGTCGTGGTGAATTTCATCTCTGTCGGGCTTGGTTTTGAACTTGCGCCCCACTCCACCCCTTTTTGTGTGATTTGGCGGGAAGGGTCCAGGATTCTAGGGACCCCAGACCCAACCCTGACCCCAGACACCTGCCCAAGTGAGACTTGAAAGTTAATACCCCTAAGGGTGGAGTCTGGGCCCAACCAGGCTGACTCCAGTAGCTGATATCACCCACAGAGGGCCAGGGCTCGTGGGAAACAAGAGATGGAGCTAAGACCAAGAACTCTGTTAGACGGAATTCAATTCCAGTTTAGCCAATTCCGGATTGTGTGATCATGGGCAAGTAACTTCACATAGGCTTAATATACTCATCTGTAAATGGAGACCACAGCCTCATCTTGAAGGAATGTTGTGAGAAATAGCCCAGTGCCTGGGCCCCAGCTAGGCAGGGATCTACAAGAGTTTCCTGGTCCGCTTAGGGGATTCCGTAAGATCTCTGTGGATACTTTGCGAATCCCCATCTCTCCGGACTGTTTGAACTCACGGTGGGCTGTCCCGGGGTACTGTTCAGATCCATTACATGTCTGAGGAGGGGGCAAATGACTAGCTGGGCTTGAGGGGTGAGTTGCAAGGGACAGGTGCATAAGCCTCCATCCAGACCTCTGGCCCTCCCCCTTCCTACCCTGCCATCCATTACCTGCCTGAGCCGTTTGCACAGCTGCCCCTTTGCTTCCGGCTGCCGTTTGCCAAGATGTCCCAGCGACATTCTATTCCGGCCCTGCACCCCTCGCCCCCGCCCCACCCCACTTCAGTCCTCCACTAAAGAGCCGGCAGGCTTGACAGTGCTGTGGGGTCCCTGCGTAAACCGAAGCTCACACACACACTCACGTCCGCTCACACTCGTTTACAGACACACTCTGAATCACAGACACAAAAAGCAGATGATGGTGCACAAGAATATACTTAGGGGTTCATTCAAACGTGTCCCAAGCCTGCTTCCGAGTCTCTTGGGCAGTCGCATTGACACACCCGCACGACGATGACCAGCTTGGATCAAATCTACACACACTCTCACGAACATCACACCCAATTACACGTGACCTCGACAACTCTCACACCCCGCACAACCGGGTTTCAACCACTCCGCCTGAGCGTTCAGCTCCGGGCGCGCCCCGAGCGGCAGTGGTGGGAACTGTGGCACCTTCCCACAGCGTCCAGAGTGGTGAGAACGAAGCTTCAGCGTCCCCACGATCTCCCAGTGTGGGCGCGCAGCGCGCGATCTGCAGCAGCTGGTCCGGGAGCTGCCTGTGCGGTGAGCGCAGTAGCTGCATCCCGGGGCTGTGGCGGGAGGCAAGGACCTTGGCTTGAGGTTCTTTGAAGCAGAGCAGAAATTAGCCGTTAAGTGTACGGTGAGTGGCGCGAGTCACGGAACTCCAGGTACTCCCGGGTCGAATCTGCACCATCGTCCTCAGTCCCCAGAAGCTTAGACATTTCCTAGGACCACACCCCTGTCTTGCGGTACATCTCTTCCCCCTCGGGGTTGGTGGCTTCGGTGGTCAAGGAGGCAGCGGCAACTCCAAACTTCCAAGATGCCCTTAATTGAATCTCTTCCTTCTTAACTATTACGAAGGAATAACACCTGGGGCTGGGGACGGCGTGTCTGAGACTCGCTCTCCTCAGGCCCTGCCGGCAGGGCGGCCACAGGACCCGCGACTGGAACTGGGGCTCATCGGCGCGCGTCTGGCGCAGAGCGCGGAAACGCGAGCTGCGCGCGGAGCAGGGCCCGGAACGGCGGATCGTGGGTACTGTGAGCCCAGGATCCTGAAGGAAGACACCCCCTGCTAAGACCCAGTCCTGAGCGTTGGAGTTTTTCAGCAGTTTGGTCTCTGAGCCCTGGCCTAGGTTTTCGGTACAGAGCTGTGCGGAGTCGCGAAGGCCGCAGTGCGAGCACTAAGTGGGGTGTAATGCTTGGGCCGCTGCCACCGGGGCTGTAGCAGGAGAGTGTTTGCGCTCAGCTACCACATACTTCAGTGGAAATGACTTTTTCCAAGACTAGAGGTTTTTTTTTTTTTTTTTTTTTTTGAGACGGAGTTTCGCTCTTGTTACCCAGGCTGGAGTGCAATGGCGCGATCTCGGCTCACCGCAACCTCCGCCTCCTGGGTTCAGGCAATTCTCCTGCCCCAGCCCCCTGAGTAGCTGGGATTACTAATTTTTTGAGTACTAATTTTTCTGAGTAGCTAATTTTTTGTATTTTTAGTAGAGACGGGGTTTCACCATGTTGACCAGGATGGTCTCGATCTCTTGACCTCGTGATCCACCCGCCTTGGCCTCCCACAGTGCTGGGATTACAGGCTTGAGCCACCGCGCCCGGCCAAGACTAGAGGTTTCTAACATAAAGAGGGGGAACATCACACACTGGGGTCAGTTGGGGGGGGTGGAGGACTAGGGGAGGGATAGCAGGGGGTGGGGAAGTTGGGGAGGGATAACATTAGGAGAAATACCTAATATAGGTGACGGGGGTGAGGAGGGGGTAGGGAGTGGAGACAGCACACCACCATGGCGTATGTATACCTATGTAACAATCCTGCAAGATCTGCACATGTACACCAGAACTCAAAGTGTGTGTCCTCTTGAAACCGTTTGTGTGTATGTCTATAATGTGTTTTCCTAAACAGAGAGCTCATAGCTTTTGCCCTTGCCACGGTGACCCCAAAATGGAAGATTGTAGACGCAGATTTTGTGGTCTTGTCACTTTGCGGGATCGCAATTCTACTCCTGACTGTCGCGTATGTCTTCAGCCCTCAGAATAGACACACTCCCCACTATCAAATCTTTGGCAGCTACAAATCAAAGAAAGGCTGGTGCTGTGGGGGCTAACCAGAGCCTGAGTCCAGAAGGCGCTAGTGTAGCCCTGAGCAGTTTGAAGGCTAAAAGCCTGTCTCTTTAGGATGGGAGGGATTGTCATTTATTCACCTCTTAAGCACTCCTTGAGTCTGTAGGCAGTGTCTGGCGCCTTGCCGAGGGCAGAAAGTTTTTTTTTTGTTTTTCGTTTTTGTTTTGAAGTGATTTTCTCCAGCAATTAGCACCATGCCAGGCATCCTAGTAGACCCTCCGTCAAAGTTAAATGAATGAAAATTCATTCTTGCAAATTCACCAGTTTCACAAGGTAGCTTGCAGAAAATTTGGACCTAGTCAAAGCGGCATTTTGCTTTGTTTTCCGAAATCCGCAAACTGTTCAGCCAGACTCCTCCCATTTTATTTGGTAAAGCAAATCGGTTCCCAGGTGTAATTTTTCAGAAAGGCGGGGAAGTAAGGATTTCGTCTGGGATTCTCTCTAAACACTGGGATCTCCTGATGCGAAATGTGAAGCCATTCTCTGAGCCCATCCCTGATTTACTGAGCGAGCCGAAGGAAGCTTAGAGCTTCCCCTGAGCAGATCACTTAGATTTCGTCCCTCTATTTCTGGAACTTGTCTGAGTTTCGGTACTAAACAGAGCATGGTCTAACGAAAGTCACTAAGAAAAATACTGATTTTAAAATAGTCACTTGACTATTTGACCATTGATTTTACTGTCTTATTTCCTAACTTTAAAATCTGGAAATCAGGGTCACTTTTGAAGCAATCTAAGTTTGGAAAAAAATATTTTTACAACATTCCGATAATGTTTAACTTAATGTTTGTTCCCATTCGTTTAGATCACATTCCTGTACTTTTTGCTTTAGAAATAACAACAAAGATGAAGTCTGGTTGAAAATTCTTATATGAATTTCCATGTGATAAAAAAGTCATACCTAAGCTTGAGTTCAGAGCTCAAGTTGAATTTATTGCTGCTGTACAAAGAACAGGTTTCCTTTATAATATAGACTCGACCACAAAATCACAGCAGTAGCAACAGCACCACCAGTAACAGTAACCCAACAGTCCACAACACACACATTTTCTTCAGCCTGGTAGAAATGTGGAGCTGTCAAACTAACTAGAAAATCGCCCCCTGACACACACACAAAGGAAACTGTGAGGTAATGGTATGTTCATTAACTTGATTGTTGGCAATCATTTTACAAAGTATACATGTATCGAGATATCACATTGAATACCTTAAAAAAGAAAAATCTTTAATATGGAAATAAAAGTGAACAACAAAAACAAAAAAGAGAATGAGAGACAGCCGAAATTCCCCAGTGGGAATTTTGCTGTGGGCTTTAGAACAGGTGCATTTGTACAAACATTTGAGAGGATATCAATGTTTTATTAATAACCTAGATATAGAATTATCTAAAAGATGTTGCATGCGCAGTAAGTATGACAAGTCATATAAAACCATATTAAATTGAAACAAAGCAAAAATATTGTAAATGTTAAAACTACCATTAACTAAGTTCCATCCATGTGCCAGGCACTGTGCATATATCATCTTTCTTACTCTCAAAAGTTTAATAAGATGGATATTTTTATCTTTGTTGTATATGCAAGGGAATAGTAAGACTATTTGGCTTTAATTAATTATATTTTCCAGGCTCCTTTTGAGGACTTGAAATACCAGAACATGGCTTATCTGTCTGCATATCAAGTAAAAAGTCTGGACCCTTGGATCCAGGCATTGACTCAGAGGAAGATATGGGCATGTCTGCCTGCTTCAGGGCTAATGTGATTTGTAGCGAGAGATTCAATGAGCAGGCATAAATCATTTACGATTCCGGGACCAATATTTGGGAACATTGACATTTTTGCAACAGGAAAATAAATGTTGGTGGCACC